AAAACCGAGGCGGGGGACTCTCTGAAAAGGTGAAGGGTGGTTGCTGTTTTCCATCTGTTTGATATTATCAGAGAGCAGGGCCTTGTATTCCTCAGGTCAACACCAGACAACAAAGCCTGGATGACACAATGCAGAGATTCGGCTTTGTTCCAAAGGCTGCCAGTCGGCCAAGAGCTCAGACAGTTACTTTCTCACTTAAACACTGGCAGAAAGACTCATTCAAAAAAAACAAGACATTATGAAAATGTACTTAAAAGTGAAATTGAAGATGTATGGGATGAACAAAAAGCTAAAAAATAAAGAGAATATGCTTTGATTTTGGTCAACATTTGATACGAAGTCTTTCCTGCTTGAAAGGAAAAAATACTTGTTCAATCAATTATCATTAGCCAACATAATCTTTCACTGTACTTTCCAAAGCAATAGTTAAACTAAATGATTACCTTTTATACTCTAAGGAGCCTGCTAACCACATGTGTGGAGCTAACACAAACGTCTGAGTGCTTGCTACATGATCTGGTAATGGATCACTGTCACAAAGCAGCGTATGGACAATGTAAGGAGGGAAGACAGAGAAGTGAACTTATACAGTAGGGGCTACAACATGATGGAGGAACATCCCCCTCTCTACACACACACACACACACACACACACACACACACACACACACACACACACACACACACACACACACACACACACACACACACACACACACACACACACACACACACACACACACACACACACACACACACACACACACACACACACACACACACACACACACACACACACACACACACACACACACACACACACACACACACACACACACACACACACACACAATATAGGAGATGAAAGACATAGGGAATGCAAAACTTCAACAAAAGTAATTGCCAACATGCACACATGTAAATGCAAAACATGCACCTCCTGAGTGCAACAACTGAAACACTCACTCCTATACCTGAAACCAAAGGGTTTTTTCACAGTGCAGCCAACACGACTACACAGCAATTCGCATATCAATCCTGACACAAAGCTACTAAAAACAACAGTCACTTAAGACGCATATAAACAGCTGTGTTCCCGAGGTACGCGTGGAAGGCATGCAGAGATATCCATCAAGTCAAGAATGTGAAAACAACAGATGATCAAATCTCTTTTTACAGGGAAGAGGAGCAACATAGAAAAAATAAAGGAAACAACATGTACTCCCTCTACTCGGGATTGCTTTCTTACAAACACACTCATACACAACCATGCGCACACGTACCCGACTGTATGCAAAACACTCACCGTGTGTGAACTATGTGCTAGTGTGTCCCCTGCCAAAGTGCAGCACTCCAGTGAGAGGCCTAGCGCTGCTGTGGCTGTGGAAGCTCCCCGCCTGCCCCTCCCACCCAGGCCTGTCATGTGACTCAGCACGAAAGGTCACAAGACACGCCCACTTCCTTCTTGAAACCCACCCTTTTACAAGCAAAAAAAAAACCCAACGTTTATGCACCAAAAAAGTGATCTTTTACTATGAAAAAGTAGCATATTTAAACATTTTGTAACGGTAAACTAACTAAATGAGCTTAACATAGAGAGGTTGTGGCATTACTTGATAGAGAGACTAAAGCAGATCTGTGTGCATACATCTACACTCACTGATGTTGAACGAGCCTTTGGGCCAGATGAATGTCCCTGTCCTAAACTTTGAGAATCATTTACAACCCTAATTATCTGACCTGACCCTCTCATCTGCTCCTCAGGCTCTGCATTCACCACATCCCATTCATTCCTCTCACACGGACCTGAGACACGTCACATCAAACTGGGATTCCCTTGGTCATTCATTTGGAGGTGCTCTGATCAACTATGCTTTTAGTTTTCATGAAACTACAAAACATTTTGGTGCTAGACATCTCACAAAGAACCTATAGCAGCAATATGTTAGTTTCACATTCCAAATGCATTACTTTCCTTCAGTGAACTGTGTTTAGGCTTGTGTGGGTGCTGCCGAGAACGAGCAGAGGATATGGAGACATTTGTTATTTCTCAAAAAGGAAACAAATGCTGAAAAGGTTGAGCTATTGCATAATTCCACAGCAACTAAACGGAGATGTTTTGGCAATAACCAATAACCCTGACAAAACATTCTCACTTCATCTCACTGATGAACACGATTTAACAAAAACGTATTATCACTATAAAAATAGAGTAGAGAGCCAAGCCAGCAATGCTTATGCATGCAGTCATTTATAATCTTTAAAAAAGACGACAGCAAATAAAGTCACATTTTTTCTACATCATCATAGTTTATAGGGGAACCTAAAGAGAATAAATGAAAGTTGAAGGATATTACAACTCAAAAGAACCTCCACATGTGCAGATTGTTTTTGTTCAACAGTGAGAAAGGCAGCCTTCACTTACTTATTTTTAAAACCTGGGAACAAACCAATTAGTTTGGCTGATTACTATTCTTATAGAGTATGTATTTGTGTGATTAAAGAGGAGAACAAACAGCTGTCTCCAGTCTCACAGGAAGTGTAATTATACACCAGTGCAGGGGCTTGAGTGCAACCTTACAGCCACATGAACACACATATGTACACACACATGTACACACAAACGTACATATGCACACACAGGGCAGCACCTGGAATACCTTGAGATGAAGAGTCATGTTTCTGAAAAAGCAGACACAACAGGCTAGAAAGATTGATTTGTTTTCTTTAATTACAAACATACACAGTCTTTTCTGCCAAGATAAACCGTTCTCCCTGCACACGCCGGCCCCTCAGTGTTAAAGGCCAGCTGCAGTCAGTGCAGAGTATATAACATCTCCATCTAACCAATCTGAAGCTTTGTTATGGGCCTTCGAAATTCTGCACTTTTTCAACATGCAATATATAAAAAGTTTAAAAACACAAGATACGATAACCCAACACACACACACACAGATGGTAAGTGTGACAAAAACCAGCTCTTACCAAATAGGGAGTTAAAATAAACCCTTGTTATACTTAGTTTTACAATGTGGGAACCGGTCCATTTTCCCCAAACTACAGCCTGTCTAAAACTGTTCTGTCTTTGCCTTCTCTCTTTTCATCTCCCCCTTTCTGAAACTCCACTTTATCGCCCCAATAAAAGCCCAGTGTTTAAACTGGAGATACTAAAATGTAGATACAAATGACAGTATGTTCCGATGCTGCTAAAGTGGGTTCCAACTTTTTTACCACCTTCCGTGCACACCAATAACTCAGGCTTGTCTTTCTCTTTCTTACAGCAAACTCTTGAGTCAAAGTCACTGAGCTCGAGAGTTCAGATCTGTGTCGTGAAACCAGACATACCCCGATCTTCTAACTTTGTAACAACTCTAAAGCTATGCAAGCTGGCATGTCTTCACAGATGTTATTAATAGGTTAAAAAAGAACTTTTGTTTGATACAAAAAAATAGATTTCTATTCCCTCCTCACTTCTTAGAGTCACTGACTCCTGGGTGAACCCTGCATGCATGCAGAGTGAGGCAGCCATCATTTGTTTGCTCCGACATGACTTGGCCTGCACCTTTGTTCTAGAGTTGTTGCCCTGCTGTGGACATGGCCATCTCAGATAAAACAGATTTGGAGGAGACGGGGGATGAAGCGACAGAAAGCCTATGGCGGGGGCTGTTGTTTTTGGGCTGTGCCGAGCCAAGATGGTGTCATGTATTGGCAGGCGGAGGACAGGCTGCCTGGCTGACCCCTGACAGCGTTCCTTGCAGCTGTACAATGTCTTGACACAGAATCATGATGAATAGAGAAAGAATGACTCATTGGGTGCATTATAAGTAATAACAACCCTACAGAGAGAGTGCATGTGAAGTCATTGTTTCATAATTAAGAATACAACATATAATAAAAAAGGACAAAAGGAAGGCATCTTGTGCCCTGCAGGTTTGCTAAATAAGCATTGCAGTGAATTGGGATGCTTTTATTTTTCAAAATGTATGACTTTTATGATTAAAATATGAAAAAATACTCAGGAGAGTATTGGTATACAGCATCCTTTGAATGATGCTCTTGTGCTGCCCATGTGAAAGATGTGGGTGGAGACCACAGAGAAACTAAAGCTTTCTTTTGTGTGCGTTTTGTTCTTTTTTCTGCCTTTCCCATGGGAAGTATACAGTAAACATCTCCATACAGGATATCAAGATAAGCTTGAGTGTGTGTCTGTGTGTTAGCATCTGAATGTATTTATTGAGGCTTCACAGAAATCCACTTAAAAATAAAATATATACACTTCTGGTTCCAAACATTTTCAAAAGCCATTCCAACTGCTAAAAAGCTGATTACCAAAATGTTCCTTTAAGTGATGTTTAATGGACTAAAGGTTTACACAACCTCCAGGCTCGATACCTTCCAGGTGTGTGAGGCCGACCACCTGTGAGACAGCACCTTCTGCTGGTTGCAGGTGGAGTTGCAGATGTGCAGGCAGCTGTACAGGGAAGTTGAACATCATCGTTTCACAGCTTGAACTATTCCTCCTTCTACTGAGAATCAGGGTAGAGTCACATATAGTTTAGAAAATAAATCTATACAGTTTTGGTCCAAACATTGTTTTAGATTAACTATATTTTGTCAACTGTTGAAAAGGGGCATCACAAGAAGTTTCAATTATTTTGCGAAGACTGACTAAGATTGTTAAAAAAAAATGTAAATCTGAAACATCATTCTAATATTTCATATTGGAAAAAATAAAACATGAAGTTATAAAAGGAAGTCATCTATTATAACCTTCCTTCCACACCCCAGCCAACCCTTTTTCAAGTTGTATTTATAGCGACACAGTATCCTAGCAGGTGAGACACACCCAATCTCACATCAACAGAGATTTGATACCGCAGCAGACTAAAGCAGGTGAGTTGTTTGTTGTGATTACTTGTTTATAGTATTAACTATGGCACTGTTTTTGATGAAGATTTGAAGTCAAGTTTTTTTCTTAATGATCTTTCCTTTTTGTGTTACTTTTCCTTCACTGCAACTGAACAAGGAAATGCTGTCTATTTGAACTGAAGAAGGTATTTGGCACTTAGAACTTATACACATTTCACTGCTGAAGCCTCATTATTACTTTAGATACACTTACAAATACATTTTGCAAAGAGCAAGGACTTTTGATTTCTCCATAATACTGGCTTTGGTTGTCACTTATAAGAAGGAAGAAACATAATATTGTTATCATCATTCTTATCAAGTTTAACCCGTTTTTCAGGCCTCAGGCTCGAAAAGGACATTCCCAGAACAAATGACCATATCTTCACTTCTAAAAAGGGGTAAATGAATCATCTTTTTTCTCAAAGCAATGATAAACCGTGAGTTGGATGTAGAAAAGTCAGAATCAATATAGATTTTTTTTATTTTAAAGTAAATTCAGATTGAACATAGTAAAAAAATGTAAATGATTGTGTCAGTGCAAAAAAAAAAACACCAATCACAATCAAATCTCCAAAGCAAACGGACCCGGTGATTAAAGGTAAAAACACTGAATAAAGTAGTTTCATGTGTTTCTCCAGGGCAGTTTGGCGCTGCTAACCGAGCTAGCTCAGCTTGTTGCTCTGATAACTTAAGATCCAGACGTCCGTGACTAAAATCCTTCATCCGATTAAATATAGTTAGAAAAATACCAATTGTATAGCATTAAAGTTCAAGAAAGGATGGTTTGCGGACAACAAAAACTGTCTTTTCTTCAATTCCTGTATTTTTTCATATCGCTATATATATATATATATATATATATATACACACACTGAACAAAAATATAAACGCAACACTTTTGTTTTTGCTCCCATTTTTCATGAGATGAACTCAAAGATCTGAAACATTTTCTAAATATACAAAATAACCATTTCTCTCAAATATTGTTCACAAATCTTTGCCGAGATAATCCATCCCACCTCACAGGTGTGGCATATCAAGATGCTGATTAGACAGCATGATTATTGCACAGGTGTGCCTTAGAATGGCCACAATAAAAGGCCACTCTGAAACATGCATTTTTGCATTATTGGGGGGGGGTTAGGGTTAGGGGTCTGGGGGGGTCCGAAAACCAGTCAGTATCTGGTGTGAGGGGTAGGGGTAGGGTTAGGGTAATGTTGTGAATCGACTCGAGTGGCCTGTGTTCGTCGTCCATAACATAAGCCTGCCCATACCATAACCCCACCACCACCATGGGCCACTCGATTCACAACATTACCCTAACCCTACCCCTCACACCAGATACTGACTGGTTTTCGGACCCCCCCAATAAAGCAAAAATGCACGTTTCAGAGTGGCCTTTTATGGTTATTTTGTGTATATAGAAAATGTTTTAGATCTTTGAGTTCATCTCATGAAAAATGGGAGCAAAAACAAAAGTGTATATATATATATATATTTATTAATGCTGTCAAAATTATCGCGTTAACGGCGGTAATTAATTTTTTGAATTAATTGCATTAAAATATTTAACGCATTTAACACATGTGCAGAATGGCCCGCCCCATACATCCCACCAGTGGCAGCGCCAGGGTATGGCTGGGGTAGGCTACACCCATACCAAGAAATGGCTTATCCCCAAATAAAGTCCGCCAACTCGCGCCGAGAATTGCACAGACAGCAGTTTGTAAGATTGATTTCAGTAGCCACTTGTCTGGAAATACCGAAGACCAGAAACGGTTTTGAAAACTTTTGTCACGTAGTGATCGTCTTCTCAATAGAACATCTTTGATAATGTCTTCTGGCCAATCAGAATCAAGATAACGGCGTGGTGTTGTTGCAGGAAGTCCCGACGGAGAATACTTTTGCTGTAGTACAGGGGTGCACATAACTGGTACGCAGGTTATGTGCGTAATCTGAAATGCGTACCGTCACTTGTGTCACAAAGCGCATTTGCGTACCGACGTACTTGTGAAGCTTTTCCAGAAGGCGGTTAGATCACCGGACGACAGAGTCGGTCTCCGTGGGCACAGACAGGGCTGCTGTTAACGTCGGTCTGTACAACGGAATTGTGCCAAAACTACGCCAACCGGCTGCGGAAGGAGAAGTACTCCACTAGCCCCCACATACTGTGTTAAATGGATATATCCGCCTTCTTTCATTTATCTTTCCATTCCCACAACAATATACATAAAGAAATGGCATATTTTGGACATAGTTCAATAGTTCGAATGGTGATTAATCATGATTAATGAATTTTTAAACTGTGATTAATCTGATTAAAAATTGTAATCGTTTGACAGCCCTAATATATATAGCAGGGGAAAAATATATATCGCAATATCAGTTTTTTCCAATATCGTGCAGCCCTACCTCAGACGCTGTTTCTTGCAAAAATGTTACCACATTTAATGTATGTGTTATGGGGTTAACCTGGTTAACCTGTTTCAATGTTAATTGAAGTGGCCATTGGTAAGGATATACTTCCAGAAGTAATCCTATCCTTCAGCTCTAGTTCCACATTAATGTAGGTATGTATGTATTGAGAATGTTCAGCATGAATGAATAATGAATAATATTTATACAGGATGGTGAAGATATCACTTGGAGCTGTGTAGCTCTGCTCCTTGCCCTGACATCTCTGTCGGCTGTACAGAAAGAGCTCGATTCAATCAGTGATTTGAAGAAAATCAACTTTGACCAATCTGTGCCCAAGCACAGTCTTCTGCTGCTCCACTGGTTTGCCAACACAGTTACCATCGATGAGGATGATGTCATAGAGCTGACCTTTGACCCAGACAGTGGAGATTATGGCTCACATCATTATGGCAACTTTGAGGGGCTGCTGGACCCACTGCCTCGGGGAAATCAATACAGGTACTACACTATTGGAAATCTACATCAGGAAATGTCCATTCCACTTCCTCCTTATGTTGTCGACCCCCCAGGAGAGTATGTGGGAAGAAACATGGACAGGATCGTTATTAGTGTCAGGGAGCCAAACTCAGGACGGCAACTTTGGCCAATAATAGACCAAGTGTATATCACACAGCATATTCCACATCAGGGGGAATATGATCCAGATCATACCTACAGCATCACCACTAACCTCCTGAGAGAGATCAGAGAGTTTTCTGTGGGAGAAAATCATCAGCCACTGATGCCTCTCAGAAACCGCTTTGGAAGCAACGCTGATCATTTGGACATTGTAAACACATGGGGTGAACTTGCATGCCTTGGACTGCTGTTGTATATTGTGATCCAGGAAAAGCACTCCTCTAAGCAACAGAACAACCGATCAAAAATCTACAACAAACCAGAAGACAACATCAGAGCTGAAAGCAACCATACACCACAAATCAAACCTACACCACAAAAACGCGTAAAACAAATTGCCTATACATCACAAATAATCCCTACACCACAAAGCATCCTTACACCACAAATAATCCCTACACCACAAAGCATCCATAGACCACAAATAATCCATACACCACAGAGCATCCATACACCACAAAGCATCCATACACCACAAAGCATCCATACACCACAAAGCATCCATACACCACAAAAGTGCCTAAAGCAAAAGGACCCTAAACCACAAAACAACGATACACCAGAGAACAAACCCATCCCACAAAATGTCTACATTTTAGGAAACAGACAAAATAATAAGGCTGATGACGACGCTTTTGTAATCTGCATTATGTTTGTATTTTTTGTATACTTGTTATTTAAACATGCATTTTATTTTTTTATTTTTCATTTCAATATTTTTTTATTTTTCAGAAGTTACAGGGTGAGACAATACCAACACATTAACGGCAAAACATGTAATAAAACCAAAACAGACGAGGAGAAAAAACTAATAAATTGGGAATTTAGATTACAATTAATTAGCGAGAGTAAAAAATGCATTATCTAAAACAAGCAATGATTTTAAAAACCCTTCAGTAAAAGGGTTGTTTTGTTATTTGCTTTGCCTCAAAATATTTGATTTGGTGGTCTCTCTTTGTAAAACATGTATACAGTAGTTAAGAATGAGATAATGGGTTGGTATGACATGCTTTTGATGAAAGGCTAAATCTTTATCTTTATTCATGGAACAATGTCATGCTCCAGCATGTATTCAAAAAGGCACAGGTGAGCCTATTCAGCTGTCAACCCTCCCATACCAACAATCACTAACCCTGAACAGTGAAAGGCAGGAGTGTATTTTAATTGAGAGATTTTTCTGTAATGTTTGAAAGTGTTTGTGTTTATTAAACTATCATTTATCAGCCAGACTGATGAAAGTGATTTTATTTCAAAGAAACTGAAGTATGGTAAGTGAGGTGCAAAATGAGGACAGCTTTAACTGTTCCTAATTTTTCAGATAATCACAAGAGACAGATACAGTTTAGCAAATTGATATCTAGTTGTTTTTTTAAATAACCACCTGGTGTTGGTCCAACTTATACATTTCTTATTGTATAATTTGCCAGTTGTTGAACTGGCTTTTTGTGAGTAGTAAACAATGAAAATATCAACATATCATATTAAGACTGAACAACACACTTAATAAATGTACCACCATTTTTATCTGGCTATTGGCTCTGTGCACAAGATGGCGTCTATCAACTTCCGGCGGATGGGTGTGCGGTTGTAAACTTCCGGTCTACGGTGTGGAGTGGTTGAGCGGGTAGATAGAGAGAGAGAGACGAGGAGAGAAGAGATGAGATGAGAGAGAGAGAGAGGGACCAGAGGAGAGAGAATGGAGACGAGAGGAGAGCCGCGAGAGACTGAGAGAGAGCCGAGGATGACCGTAGAGAGAGGAGAGAGGAGAGAGGAGAGAGTAGAGACGTGAGACGAGGAGTAGAGATGAGAGAGAGAGAGAGAGAGAGAGAGAGAGAGAGAGAGAGAGACCGGTCTACGGTGTGGAGTGGTTGAGCGGGTAGATAGCGAGATAGCGAGCGAGAGAGAGAGAGAGAGAGAGAGAGAGAGAGCATACAGATAGCATACAGATAGCATACAGATAGCATACAGATAGCATACAGATAGCATACAGATAGCATACAGATAGCGGTAGAGCAAAGTGAGAAGGCTAACGTTAACGTGATGGCACTATTTTACACTCGATGTCTCCAAGACCTACCGAAGGTTAACATCAGTGATGTACATCGGCTGGTAAAAGTGTCAAGCTCAGCCCCGAGGAACAAAGGAGAAAGGGGTTCAAGATGTACATATCCAGTTACATCGACAATTATGAAGGTAAGTGACAAACAAAGCTGTAGTTACTGGCTAACTTTGACAACTTGACAGTCTTGAGACAGTGTAAAGTGTTTTAATGATGTACTATTACGTTTTTTTGGATAACATGAATGATGTCCAATTCCCCACAGTTTCAAACAAAGATCTACCTTCAGGGAGAGTGAGCATCAGGGCTAGCTGTTACAGGTCCCTGAGAAAGCATGAAAAGCCTCACGATCTCAGAGTAGGGAGACAAATAAAAAGTGTTCATCGGTTCAAAGCCTCAATCAGGTTCATGTTCTAGGGTTTTGATGTAGCTAAAATGACTGACATTTTGTTTTACTGTGTAGATTGTCTTTGAGAACTGCTCACCTGTGGAGATTGAAGTGGCAAAGTGTTCCTGTGTAGCTGGAACAGCACTCGGCAACCACAATGTTGCACTGCTGTTCCAGACCGCACACTACTCCACACTCAACCTGGCTGCTGTCCCCCCTGTCCTCAGCTGCACTGAAACAGAGCAGCGATGGCACAAGCCAAGAACCATGGTAAGTACAGTATGTGTTCACAACCAATCCACGGTTTAATGAGTATTTCCTTTGTGCCAAGAGCTGATTTATTTATGTTGCATCAATGACCTTTTCAATTAATTTGACAATTCTTTTTTGTAATTAATAGGGTGTGAAGTGAGTGAGTGACATGGTGTTCATTTCCACTAAGCCAAAGCAGTTTACAGTTGCTGACGATGTAAGGTAATATCTATTGTCCTAAGTAATTGTATGTAGCCTGCTACAACTTTGTGATTGTTGTTTGAGTGTAAAATTGTTGTTAAAGTCCTAATTATCATATAAACATGTTCAAAGGAGTACACGTTACAAGGCCGTACGGGGGGTGCTGCCAGACTCAGATGTCCTCAAAGTCTGCGAGGCATACAAGGACTTCTCAGCAGTCATCGCACCACTGATCACCACCATGGCTATAAGTGTGGACGTGCCACTGGTTAACTGCACCTTTGGAAAAGTTCAGGAAGGTAGCCCCATCTCATACCAGCATCCACTTCCTCTTAGCCGGGTTATATTGCGTCACCCAGATGCCCCTCCACCTCTACCTGTGGATGGCTATAGGCTGGAGCCTACCACCTGTGAGATTGTGTGCAGTCACCAACAGCACCTCCATCTACTGTCACTTGCGACAACATTGCTCATGGCAAGGAAAATCGAGGTGGCCACAAGGGAGCAGAGCGACAGTGTGGAATGGCAACATGTTAGGAGGCCAAGAATAACTTCTTCCCGTTTCAGGGAAGTATGCCATGTTCGAGGTCAGAGTTCGGCTGAAAACGTGGCACAACGGATTCGGAAGGGATTTGCGCAAACAGCGTCAATGAAGAGGGGACTGGCACTGGAACCGGTTGCCATCCAGGAATACTGCCGGATTAAAAACACCAATTACTGGCCGTGTGGGTTTGTCATTCACCCAGATGCCCCCTGGTTAGGGTCATCTCCTGACGGTCTGGTGTTTGACCCAACTGAGAGCCCACCTTTTGGACTTGTAGAAATAAAATGCCCAAATGTGAAAAGTTATGTGGACTGTAGCTACTTAAAAATGCAAAGTGGCACATTAAAACTGAAGCAGTCTCATAGCTATTATTGGCAGGTGCAAGGCCAGCTCCTACTCACAGGGATGGAGTGGTGCGATTTCGTCATTTTTGCGGAGGAGGATATCCTTATACAGTGTATCTGCAGAGACTACACAATTGGTTCGGCTCTCTCCCTCTCCCTCTCCATACCACTTCACTTCACTTTTAAGCAATAGATCCCTCAAATGTGGTGATCAAGAGTGGTGACACAGATATTGCAACTTAAGTATTCAAGAGGACAGTCATAGTACAAATAGGTTGAGAGAAAATATGGAAGAGTCACTTTGACTTTAGAAAATTACACCACAAACATTTTTATTAAAGAATATTCGCGAAACAGCAGCCTATGCAACATTTATTTAATGCAATTTGAAATGTATTTGTGACGAGTAAATACTGGCATTTTAGAATACAATTTAAAATGTTACTGTTCGCATACAAGGCCCTAAACGGTTTAGCCCCACCGTACCTGGCAGATCTTTTAAAACCATACACACCCACACGGTCACTGAGGTCTGCTGACAGACTCCTTCTGGAAGTCCCAAAATCGAGGCTAAAGCAGCGGGGAGACAGAGCCTTTGCTGTTGCAGCTCCAAAGTTATGGAACGAATTACCCCTCCAGGTTAGACTTGCTCCAACTCTGCCTGTTTTTAAATCTCGTTTAAAAACCCACTTATTTTCCCTGGCTTTTACTGTACAGACCAGGTGACACTTGTGCTGTTAAATGTGTTTTGTTTTTTTAACCTTACTAGTGTTTTGTATTGTTTTTACGTCACAGGAGAGTTTTTCAGTCGGTGGCTTCTGATCTGGTTTCATTGTCTCGTGTATTACATTTGTTTCATGTCCTGTCTGTTTTGATGTATTTAGGCTATGTTTTTATACAGTTGTTGATGTACAGCACTTTGTTCAACTCCGTTGTTTTTAAATAAAATGGATTGGATTGGCTAATAATAAGCCAGGCCCCATTATAAAATCTCCAAGATTATCACCCTGCAGTCCAAAGGACATGCTTACGCTTAGGCACCTGACAGGCTGATCCCTCATAAACCTGCTCATTATTCTGATTTGTACAGACACATGGCTTGTAACAAAGCCCCGAAAGGAAGTTATTGTTTTCTTTATAAGAATACAGAAGGAAGTATTATCCAAACATCTGTATGATCACATTTCCTGCAACCACCAGCAACACGTGTTTTGCTAGATTCCTTTACAGAGAAAAGAGATTCACCTAACCTGGCACAATCACAGAGATCGAATATTTGACGACAGCACACAGGTGAGCCATTTCATTTCCTGATTACATTTTTTTTTGTGTATGTTCCTCTTTGTGTTACTCTCCCTTCATCACAACCCAACAAGGAAACAAGGTTCATTGAAACATGAGGGAATGTTGTATTCAAAAGACTAACTTTGGCAGATACTCTCATTTTTAATGAATTGCTAAAGAACTTTGAATTTCTTCTCAATACTGGCCAAACATCGTATTGCTCAGAAGGACCAGGAGGGTTGATAACCACAAGCAAAACCATTTCAATGTTTATATGGCTACCTTACTGATCAAAACATCAAATTATTATGGATCGAAATCTACAGTATGGATAAATAATTGAATCTTTTTGAAATATCTATACAGGATGATGAAGATGTCAGGAAGAATCACTTGGTGCTGTGTAGCTCTGCTCCTCGCCCTGACTTCTGTGTCGGCTGTACAGAAAGAGCTCGATTCAATCGATGATTTGAAGCAAATCAACTTTCGCCAATCTGTGCCCAAGCACAGTCTTCTGCTGCTCCACTGGTTTGCCAACGAGATGGACATCGACAACAACGATATTATACGGCTAGCCTTTGACCCAAACAGTGGAGATTATGGCTCACACCATTATGGTAACTTTGAGGGGCTGCTGGACCCACTGCCTCGGGGAAATCAACACCGCTACTACACTATAGGAAATCTCTATAGAGAAGCACCGATCCAACTTCCTCCTTATGTGGTGCATCCCCGAAGGCAGTATGTGGGAGAGAACAGGGACAGGATCATAGCTCGAGTCAGAGACCCAAACATAGAAGGGCGAGCGCACCGGAGGATAGACAGAGTGTTTATCACACAGCATTACGACACTAATGAAAATCAGGGCACACCTTATGATCCAGATCACACATACAGGATCACTATTAACCTCCTGAGACAGATCAGAGAGTTTGCTGTGGGACAAAACCAACAGCAACTGATGCATCTCAGAAACCGCTTTGGAAGCAGCGCTGATGACTTCGACATTGTAAACACATGGGGTGAACTTGCTTGCCTTGGACTGCTGTTGTATATCGTTTTCCAGGAAAAGCCCTCCTCTAACCAACAGAACAACCGCCCGGAAAACAGAAGAAATCCTTGGAATGGGATAAACAGCTATATTCCTAGAATTTTTCCAAACTTTGGTGACGTTGTGGTGAATTTCAACGACGCTGAAGACCACGAAGCCAGCAGGACAACAGGAAACCTCATCTCAGTACCACGGATCAACGTCCGGAGGTCGTTCCGTTGTGTTTGTTGCATTTGTTGCATTTGTTGTATTGCATGCATATGTTTAATTTCATTGTGTATCATAGTATATTTTTGGTCTAAAGGAAAGATATGATAAGTTAGAACTTTTTTTTTTTTTTTTAGAGTTAATTGCTGTGCAGCAGTTGCAATACAAAGTGGGAAGAGTGCAAATATAAAAGTCTAAGATAACGATAAAGTGTAAATAATGTGTCAATCCAATATATATACATATACACAACCCTAAATAGCAGGTCAACAGTTAATTAATATAATACAAACATGTTAACTCATGTACAAACATGTTAGGGATGAGTCTAAGTAGGGTATATTATGATTGTGTGCATGATATTGCAGTAGCGGGGATTGAAGTTGTGGTGATAATAAAACACACATCTTAAGCTGTGTGCTATGAAAGCTTTCACAAATAATGTATCGACTTAAAAATATATAACAGGGGTGTATTTCATTAAATGTGTTGTGTTGTAAAATGGATTGAATAAACTATAGTTTATGTCAGACTGATATCGGTGTATTCATTTTTAGTTAAACGAAACTGGATTAGAATCCTACAGACATTTGAATGTGTCTTTGTTCTTCAGATAATCCCAAAGACTGAAGAGCTCAACTGAAGCTAAAAGGGGCGTGGCTCTGGCAGTGGCCTTCTTGGCTGTGATGCAATTATCTTGAACTGGCTTATTAAAAAAAAATGGGAATCTTCGTGGACATGTAAAGGGACCAGAGGATTCAGAAGAGCTGACAGCTGGCACCTGAGACTGCACCCACCTGTAATTCAGAGGCAAAGCCCCTTCTAAAGAGTAACTGTAAGCCGTAATACAATTGAAACAGGCGAGTTGTTGTTGTGATAACTGAAGGATCCTGGCTGTCCTTTGCTCTACAGCAAGGGCGCATTTCTCAATAAAAGGCCACTTAAGCAATATAAATGAAGAAATTATTCTGCGATAAGTGAATACAGTTTAATAATAAGCTTGACACTATAAAAAGTCCTTTGACTCACTGTGGAACTTAACACACAAACAGAATGACTTCTCTTGATATCCCTCTATAAACTCTAACAAAACCCTGAGAGGCTGTACCACTTCCCTTTTCTTGAATACATTTCATCCAATCAGCTGTATGATCAAACATCCTGTAACCAGCAGCAACATCCGTTACATTTACTGCAAACCTAAAACCAAATAAGGGGTGTTGCATGCTTTCACAGATTTACAGAGACCAGATACTTGAAGGCAACCGACTAAAGCAGGTTAGTACTGTCATCTTCTAAACATTATTTCTGTTAATTATTTACTTGGGCACTATTTCACAATATTGGTAACGTTTTTTTTAGTGGTCTCCTCTGTGGTACTTGCTCTGCATCGCAGCTTAACAAGGAACTGCTGAGTAAGAACTACTTTTGAACTACGTAGACGGCAATCATCAGTTGATGTGATTAACTCAGTCTGCTGAAGCCTCATAATAACAACAATCAATATACAAATGCATATTTAAACAGAATGAAGACTGTGCATTCATATTAAATAAACACATTTGGATTAAATCTAAATGATATCACTTTTTTAGCTATTTCCCAAATGACAACGTTGTTATTTTAAAAGACAGACCTACTGTATTAAACCTCTCAATATTGTGATCTAAGATCTGAAGTATAATAACTCAATTCATGTTATTTTTTGTTTAAATATATTGTTGACACAACTCATACTTGTGAGAGCTAATTTAGGTTTTTTATTTGATTTCCTGCATTTCATCAAAAAGGTCCAGACGAATATCTGATCATTTCTGACTAGACTGTCACACACTTTTTAAATGTTGAATAACTATTTGTATCATTTGATAAACAGATTTGATTAGTTTCTATAAATCAGATTTTTATAAAAATGTCCTTGTTTTTACTCCATAAAGGCCTTTGGACATCTACATTGCATGTCACTTTGATACAGGATGATGAAGCTATCAGGAAGAGTCACTTGGTGCTGTGTAGCTCTGCTCCTCGCCCTGACCTCTGTATCAGCTGTACAGAGAGAGCTGAATTCAATCAGTGATTTGAAGAAAATCAACTTTGGCCAATCTGTGCCCAAGCACAGTCTTCTGCTGCTCCACTGGTTTGCCAACACAGTTACCATTGACGATAACAATGTCATAAGTCTGACCTTTGACCCAAACGATGGGGATTATGGCTCACATCATTATGGCAACTTTGAGGGGCTGCTGGACACACTGCCTCGGCCGAGGGGAAATCAATACAGGTACTACGCTATTGGAAATCTCCATCAGGAAACGTCCGATCCACTTCCTCCTTACGTAGCGCGTCCCCAAAGGGATTATGAAGGAGAAAACAGGGACAGGATCATAGTTCGTGTCAGGGAGCCAAATTCAGGAAGGCAAACTTTCCGGAGGATAGACGAAGTGTATATCACACAGCATTATGACACTTCTGAAAATCAGGGGACACTTTATGATCCAGCTCATACCTACAGGATCACCACAAACCTCCTGAGAGAGATCAGAGAGTTTTCTGTGGGAGAAAACCAACAGCCACTGTCGTATCTCAGAAACCGCTTTGGAAGCAGCGCTGATGATTTCGACATCGAAACTGCATGGGGTCACCTTGCTTGCCTTGGCCTGCTGCTGTATATTGTGCTCGGGGAAAGGCACCTCTTTACCCCACAATCCAACTACACACCGCAAGTCAGACAACAAAGCGCCTACACACCAGATAACAGACAAACTAGTTGGTGTGCGGCTATTGTGAAGTGCTGCATGATCGTTGTTGTTCTTTTAATTTGTCTTTTAATTTTGGCAATTTCTGCAGCAAGAAGATAAATTGAAATGAGAGAGGGTAAATAAATTGCCATATAATGTGTTTAAACATAATGCTTCTCACAAAGTCAGCAGGATTCAAAAGTTGATTGGAAAGAAGGAAACACGCGTGAACATGTTCAGGGGTTCTTCTGTTTTATGCTTTTTCTTTTTTACTTCTGTGTTTAATTGTAATTTGTATTATATAACTTTTTTTGTGAATGGTGTTAGTTTATATTTGAGATAAAGGACATGCTTTAGAGGACAGGCCAAATACTTTAAATCCTCGATCTTTTGAGCTTCAAAGTTACATTTATTCCATTTGAACTGTGCAAATTGGCTTTTTTTCTTTTTAATAATGCACTGCTTTGATGCAGTCATGAAGCTGCAGGCTTCAGTTTTGCTCCAGCATGTATAATGTAATAGCTATGATTCACTGAGGATTCCTCCTGTGTGTGAGATGGATGAAGAGAATTTAAGCAGCACTGATCGATAAACCAAACAGATCGGTGAATGACTGTACGGTCTGCAAAGGACAGCCGTCACTGACATGAATGCATTTCATTTTTTTATACTTCCTGTAATGTCATAAATTGTGTGTGTCTATTAAATTGTAATGTGTCAGTCAGTAAGACTGATGTCAGCTTTTCATTTGAGGTTTTAGGAAACTGAGCACAATTTAGATGTGCAAAATAATAAAGAAATCTTTAACATTATATTCTGGAAGATCACATTTGTTATCTTTAGCATCACAAGTGACAAAACACAGCTAAACATTTTATTTTGATATTTTATCATTTGCTTTTTGCATTTCTAAAGACTACTTTTCATATCTGGAATCAGAATGTTTTTTTTAACAGCCATGTGATCAAACTTCTTGTTATCACAGGCAATAGTTGTTTTGCCAGTTTCATTTACGGGGAAACTGAAACCAAGTGAGAGTTTCCTCTACACTCTCTCTCACGCACACACACAGATCTGACACTCGACAGCAGCAGACTAACAGAGGTGAGCTCTCCTATTTACTGATCACTAGTTTGTTTTTATTATTTAGCACTATTTCACACAATTGGTGGAAGCCTTTGATTCCAGCTTTGTATTTGAGTTTTCTCTCCTCTTCGTGTTACTATCCCTCCACCGCAGCTCAACAAGGCAACGCTGTGTATTAAAACAGTCTACTAGACGGAGTGTAACTTGGTACTCGCTTGATTTGATGAACTCAGGCTGCTGAAGCCTCAAAATAAACTCAGACAACCTAAAAATAAATGTTTGCTTAATATGAAGACTTTGGATTTTTTCCCAATACCTATTGGTCAGTATGAGTATGAGTTTTAATGTTGACTTGTAGGAGCACGTTGAAATATCTGTTTTAATAATGAACCACTAAAGAGATGTTCAGACACACGTACCAAAACATGTCAAGTTTGAGAACACATATGCAGCCTGTACTTTTGAATAAAAACTCATTTTTAACAGAGTTTATGTATTTGTGATCATACTGTGTGACCTGCTTGTATGTACTTACACAATAGGTCTAGGCTACTGTTATCACTATGTGTTGTACTGTCTCAATATGAACATAGATTAAACGGCCAGTAAACTCTTTTGAGAGCCAGGGAATGAGCAGCCATGCTCCTTTATTGACAGGCTAGTAGGCCTATGGCTAACGCTAGCACGAATGCTAACGCTTTTGTCATTGAGTTTAAACCATGGTTTAAACATCTCCAAATGTCAACACAATACATGTTACTAATCCTTACAGTGTAAGTTAAGGCTTACACTTACAGTCATTACTTTCTGACCGACTTGACCCTTTTACTCTTCAGGTTGCATAGGGACAATTTGTAGTAGTCTACTGCCATGCTATTCAGTTCACTTTCTCCTACTTCCTGTACCCGGTTTCCTGTCTAACTTTCAGTACACATTTTACAAAAATATAAATGTGCAAATATGAAACATACAGGTCAATATCACCTTGCTATTGGTAGCTGAACTGTCAATACCCCAAAACATATTCTTATATAGAAATACTTATCTTTTGTTATTTAGACACAATCAACACTTATAGTTGCATGTCTTGTTACATAAGAACAGATCATATTTGTTAAGTGTTATTGCTATTCTTGTGGTACTACTGCCTTATTAGGCCCATATTGAGCAGAGCATATTAAGACCAAAACTCATGTACAACAACTTCCTTACTTGCAATAAATAAGCACTAATTAGAGGGTTATTGAGAAAAAACTCTCAACTAATGACCTATTACTTGTAGAATACGGTCATGTAGAATAAGGCATTAATAACTGTTTTATAATGACTAATAAAGAGCCAATATACTGCTAATATGCATGTTAATTAACAACTAGTTGATGGTTAATTTGTGTACCTTAATATAAAGTGTTACCAAAATGTTTAACATTTCCAATCAAATTATTTCACCTTTTTCATATTATGTGCGTATTATAGAAAAAAGGATGATATCAAAATAATGTATTCTAATCACTACGAGCATATTTTATGCCAACAGGGTTGAAATTTGACTACCCTGCATATCAAGTATTAGACTTACAATGACTTTTAATTCTTAAAACATTGTAATACCAACATTAAGTAAAAACACATTGATAGATTAAATAAATCTGTTTTTAAAACACATTCTCTACTCTATATTTCTACCTTTTTTAAAAGGGCTTTGGACATCCTAATTGAGAGTCAAGTGGACCCAGGATGATGAAGATGTTGGGAAGAGTCACTTGGTGCTGTGTAGCTCTGCTCCTCGCCCTGACCTCTGTGTCAGCTGTACAGAAGACGCTCAAATCAATCAATGGTTTGAAGAAAATCAACTTCGGCAAATCTGTGCCCAAGCACAGTCTTCTGCTGCTCCACTGGTTTGCCAACGAGATCGACATCGACAACAACGACATTATACAGCTGACCTTTGACCCAAACAGTGGAGCATATGGTTCCCATCATTATGGCAACTATGAGGATCTGCTGGACCCACTGCCTTGGGGAAATCAACACAGGTACTACACTATTGGAAATCTCCATCAGGGAACGTCAATCCAACTTCCTTCTTATGTTGTCGATCCCATAATTGAGGATATGGGAAGAAACATGGACAGGATCATATTTCGGGTCAGGGAGCCAAACATACAAGCTTACCAGACGATAGACCAAGTGTTTATCACACAGCATATTCCACATCAGGGCACACTTTATGATCCAGCTCATACCTACAGGATTGATATTAACCTCCTGAGAGAGATCAGAGAGTTTTCTATGGGAGAAGACCAACAGCCACTGTCGTATCTCAGAAACCGCTTTGGAAGCAGCGCTGACGATCTCGACATCAAAAACAAATGGGGTCACCTTGCTTGCCTTGGACTGCTGCTGTATATTGTGATCCAGGAAAAGCACTCCTCTAAGCAACAAAACAACCGCCCGGAAAACAGGAGAAATCCTAGTAATGAGAGAGAGCCTAGAAAGTTCCAAAACCAGGATCATGTTGTATTGGATTTCAACGATGAAGAGGACGGCGTAGCCAGCAGGCTAACAGGAAACAGAGAATCAGACTGTTGGAACCCCTTACAATCCTGTAGGTCTTGTTTTTTCTGCATAATTGTATTGGGTATAATTTTTTTTCTGTTAAAAGATAAGATATACAATTATTTATCTTGAGGGCTCCTAGGAAGAAAACCAAGACTACTTTTGTATCTAAGAAACTGCGCTGGAAGCAACACTGATGATTTCTACTTCACAAACTGTAAAAAAACAAAACAAAAAACAGACTGATTGGGGCTCTGCATTATTTTTTTTTGTCTATTTCTGCATTTTGAGTGCATTTAGAAACAAAGATAACATTAAAACGGGGAGTGTAAAGATATTGTTTAACACCTGAACATCCTGCAAGGGTTGCTCTGATGTATGTCTTGTTACGTCTCCATACTTTTGATTTCCTTTGTGTACTATTTCATCTTTTTGGTGAATGTTGTTTTGGTATAACATGCTTTTGATGACAAGTTAAATTCTTTAATCTTCAAATCTCAAACTGTGCGTTATGAAAGGCTGACAGTCTTTAGAACTTAATAGCTCAATTTATTCAAAAATACAGTTAGTAAATAACAGCAGGGTTTTTTCTTTATAATTTGAACTGAACACATTGGCTTTTATTTCACATTATAACGCACTGCTTTGGCACGGTAATAAAGCTCTAGGGTTCAGCGTTAATAATCCAAGAGCAATGATTAACTCATGATTTGCACAATGTCTGATACAGATGAAAAGAACACGATTTCACTTTAAAAAAAGGAAAGGTATGTTAACGGCTCTAAGGTCCGTTAAGGACAGCTGTCACTGACACCAACGTATTCCATTTAGTGCCTTTTTTACTTTCTGCAATGTTGTAGCACAAGTGAGATACATTTGAAGTTGCATTGTGAATCATCTGGTTTGTTCTCTTTGAAAGCATATATAACAAGAGCTGCTATTGCCAGTATGTTTCTGTCTTTACCTCCCAGAGAGTCAAATAAAGACTTTTCGCAGGCATGTCAACAAACGCAGCCAATTCCTTATCTTTCAAATTAAAGGGCTTTTGTCAATGGGCGACACGCTCAATCACTATTATGTTTCCTCATTCGGCAAAAAACAGTGACGTGACATAACAGTGTAATGGAAATAAATTGTGTGTGTTTATTAAATTTGAATGTGTTAGTAAGACCGATGTCAGCTTTTCATTTGAGGTTTTAGGGAACTGAGCACAATTTAGATGTGCAAAAATAATAAAGACATCTTTAACATTATCTTCTGGAAGATCACATTTGTTATCTTTGGCATCAAAAGCGACAAAATGCTGCTATACATATTTTATCATTATGCTTTTTGCATTTCTAGAGACTACTTTTCATATGTTGAAATCAGAATGTTTTTTCAAACACTTGTATATGATCAAACTTCCTGTGACCACCAGCAGCAGTTGTTGTTTTGCCAGTTTTATTTACGGGAAACTGAAACCTAGCAAGAGTTTCCTCTATATACACACACACACAGATCTGATACTCGACAGCAGCAGATTAACAGAGGTGAGCTCTCTTATTTTCTGATCACTACTTTGTTTCTATTATTTACTTTGGCACTATTTCACACGATTGGTGGAAGCCTTTGATTCTAGTTTTTGTATTTAACTTTTCCCTCCTCTTCGTGTTACTATCCCTCCACCGCAGCTCAACAAGGAAACGCTGTGTATCAAAACAGTCTACTAGATAGAGTGTAACTTGGTACTCGCTTGATTTGATGAACTCCAGCTGCTGAAGCCTCAAAATAAACACAGAGAACTTTAAAATAAATGGGTTATACAAGTACAGATTGGATGTTAAATGGCTCAGTGAACAATAGGGTTAACAAGGTGATTAAAACTGCAAATGTACGTTGTTTATGCCGTTATGAGATTATTTACAATGTTTTTATTTACTACCAAAATATTATTTTCAAACAATGTATTATACGTTTTTTTTTAAATTGAGGATTATATGGTGGTGCTCGTCAAAATGTCTCCCACTTTAGGTTAATTCTTTTTTTATAAGTATTTTTGAATGAATAATGAAAAGTAACCTATACAGTATACAGTGTATAGGGCTCAGAAAATACACAATTGATTCCATGATTTGGCAAGTAAATACAAATGTTTAACATCTCCAATAAAATTATTTCAAATGTTCAGATTTATGTGTGCCATCTATTATAGAAAAAAAAAGATGAAAACAATGTTGTAGTCCAATTACTACGGGCCTATTTGTATTTAATGCCGACGGGGTTGAAGAGTGACACTCCTGCAGAGCAAGGAAATCACACTTTTTGCTTTTCACCAAGAGGTCGTTTTGAGACCAAAATGTCTTTTAATTATTAAAACATTGTAATACCATCAATACATTTTTGTATCATTAAGTGAAAACACATCAATAGGTTAAATGAATCTGTTTTTATAAACTTTCTGTACTCTATTTCTACCTCACAAAAGGACTTTGGAAATCTTAATTGAGAGTCAAGTCCCAGGATGATGAAGATATCAGGAAGAGTCACTTGGTGCTGTGTAGCTCTGCTCCTCGCCCTTACCTCTGTGTCAGCTGTACAGAAGACGCTCAATAAAATCAATGGTTTGAAGAAAATCAACTTCGGCCAATCTGTGCCCAAGCACAGTCTTCTGCTGCTCCACTGGTTTGCCAACGGGATCGACATCGACAACAACGATATTATACAGCTGACCTTTGACCCATACAGTGGAGATTATGGCTCACACCATTATGGCAACTATGAGGAGCTGCTGGACCCACTGCCTCAAGGAAATCAATACCATTACTACACGATTGGAAATCTCCATCAGGATACGTCCAATCCACTTCCAGCGTATGTAGCGCATCCCCAGAGGGATTATGAAGGAGAAAATAGGGACAGGATCATAGTTCGAGTCAGGGAGCAAAACCGAAGGCAAGCTTACCAGATGATAGACCAAGTGTATATCACACAGCATTATGACACTTCGGAAAATCAGGGTACACCTTATGATCCAGATCATACCTACAGCATCACCACTAACCTCCTGAGACAGATCAGAGAGTTTGCTCTGGGACAAAACCAATTGTTGTATCTCAGAAACCGCTTTGGAAGCAGCGCTGATGATGTACAAATCAGAAACGCATGGGGTCCCCTTGCTTGCCTTGGACTGCTGCTGTATATTGTGATCCAGGAAAAGCACTCCTCGAAGCAACAAAACAACCGCCCAAAAATCGACAACAAACCAGAAGACAACATCAGAGCTGAAAGCGACCATACTGAACAAAACAGAAGAAATCCTAGAAATGAGAGAGAGCACAATGTTCCTAGAAATGAGAGAGAGCACAATGTTCCTAGAAATGAGAGAGAGCACAATGTTCCTAAAAATGAGAGAAAGCACAATGTTCCTAGAAATGAGAGAAAGCACAATGTTCCTAGAAATGTCCAAAACCAGGGTTATGTTGTAGTGAATGTGGACGATGAGGACCATGTAGCCAGCAGGCGACTGATAAACACAGAATCAGACTGTTGCAACACCTATAAATCCTGTATACAATTTTTTTTGTTTTGTATTGCCTGCATAGTTGTAATTGTATCGGTTATAATCATTTGGTCTTTTGTTATGAAAAATTAAGAGATCCAAAAATGTATCTTGTAGGCTCACCGTTTAAAAAAAAAAGAACCTCCAAACCAGAAAACAGACATTGATTGGGGCTCTGCATTCTTTTTGTATTTAATTTGTCTATTTCTGCATTTTGAGTGCATTTAGAAACAAAGATAACATTAAAACAGGGAGTGTAAAGATATTGTTTAACACCTGAACATCCTGCAAGGGTTGTTCTGATGTATGTCTTGTTTCGTCTCCATACTTTTGATTTCCTTGTTTGTTGTAGCGAGTGAGATACATTTGAAGTTGCATTGTGAATTATCTGGTTTGTTCTCTTTGAAAGCATATATAACAAGAGCTGCTATTGCCAGTATGTTTCTGTCTTTACCTCCCAGAGAGTCAAATAAAGACTTTTACCAGGCATGTCAACAAACGCAGCCAATTCCTTATCTTTCAAATTAAAAGGGCTTTTGTCAATGGGCGACACGCTCAATCACTATTATGTTTCCTCATTCGGCAAAAAACAGTGACTTAACAGTGTGATGGAAACTTCTGAAGCAATGGAGCACGAAGAGACCAGGAACTTTGATGGCAAACACTGATGGGTTTTTGGAGCTTCGGCCGGAGAATTCACAAGACACGTCGTCTGCCACGAGTTGACACAGAAGAGGCCAAACCAATTCTGAAGATCTCTACCCCAGACCCATGTATTTAGCTGGTTCTGAGAGAATAATCAACATTGTGCATAACAAGATAAAATCATAACACCTCTATCAGCTGACGCCAACAGGCAGGAACAGGGAGACAAAACACTGAGAGCACAGCACCCAAGGTCGCAGGTGCTCATTGTACAAACTGATAAACTGGGTCAAAGTTATGGGCCGAGGAAAGTATTTCCCCAACACAATGCATTTAATAATGCACTGCTTTGGCGCAGTCATGAAGCTGCAGGCTTCAGTTTTGCTCCAGCATGTATAGCTATGATTCACTGAGGATTCCTCCTGTGTGTGAGACGGATGAAGAGAATTTAAGCAGCACTGATTGATAAACCAAACAGATCGGTGAATGACTGTACGGTCTGCAAAGGACAGCCGTCACTGACATGAATGCATTTCTTTTTTTATACTTCCTGTAATGTCATAAATTGTGTGTGTTTATTAAATTTGAATGTGTTAGTAAGACCGATGTCAGCTTTTCATTTGAGGTTTTAGGGAACTGAGCACAATTTAGATGTGCAAAATAATAAAGACACCTTTAACATTATCTTCTGGAAGATCACATTTGTTATCTTTGGCATCACAAGCGACAAAATGCTGCTATACATATTTTATCATTTGCTTTTTGCATTTCTAAAGACTACTTTTCATATGTTGAAATCAGAATTTCTTTTTTTAAACAGCCATGTGATCAAACTTCCTGTTACCACCAGCAGCAGATGTTTTGTTTTATATTTACGGGAAACTGAAACTTACTCACACACACACAGATCTGATACTTGACAGCAGCAGACTAACAGAGGTGAGCTCTCCTATTTACTGATCACTAGTTTGTTTTTATTATTTAGCACTATTTCACACAATTGGTGGAAGCCTTTGATTCCAGCTTTGTATTTGAGTTTTCTCTCCTCTTCGTGTTACTATCCCTCCACCGCAGCTCAACAAGGAAACGCTGTGTATCAAAACAGTCTACTAGATAGAGTGTAACTTGGTACTCGCTTGATTTGATGAACTCAGGCTGCTGAAGCCTCAAAATAAACTCTGAGAATCTAAAAATACATTTTTGCTCAATATGAAGACTTCACTTTTATTTTTTGCAATTTTCTAAATGACACAGGATGTTTCTACACGGTGTCATTTTTAAGAAACACCATTAAACCTCTCGCTTTTGTTTAGGGGTCTTTTAGGGTTGTACTGTATGATATCGTATTAAACAAATCACATACTTGAAAATGGCTCCATAATGATGGTAATTGGGGGTTGACATTGGCTGCCGGACCATTTTAGGACAGAAAGATCCAAAGTATAATAATTAAATTCATGTTATTTTTTGTTTTTGACAAAACTCATAAAATAATGCCGGTGGGACCTAATTTAGGTTTTATTTGATTAAAACATTTTCTGCATTTCATCAAAAAGATCCAGACAATCTTCTGATAATTTCTGATAGAATGTCTTACCATTTTTAAATGTTGTATTACCCTGAATAGCTATTTGTATCATTTGAGAAACAGACAATTAGTTTCTATAAATCAGATTTTTATAAACATTTCCTTGTTTTTACTCCATAAAGGCCTTTGCTCATCTAAATTGCATGTCACTTTGATACAGGATGATGAAGATATCAGGAAGAGTCACTTGGTGCTGTGTAGCTCTGCTCCTCGCCCTGACCTCTGTGTCAGCTGTACAGAAAAAGCTAAAATCAATCAGTGATTTGAAGAAAATCAGCTTCGGACAATCTGTGCCCAAGCACAGTCTTCTGCTGCTCCACTGGTTTGCCAACACAGTTAACATTGATGAGAACAATGTCATAAGTCTGACCTTTGACCCAAACGATGGGGATTATGGCTCACATTATTATGGCAACTTTGAGGGGCTGCTGGACCCACTGCCTCGGCCGAGGGGAAATCAATACCACTACTACACTATTGGAAATCTCCATCAGGAAACGTCCAATCCACTTCCATCTTACGTAGCGCGTCCCCGAAGAGCTTTTGCAGGAGAAAACAGGGACAGGATCATAGTTCTTGTCAGGGAGCAAAACACAGGATGGCAAACTTCTTGGAGGATAGACCACGTGTATATCACACAGCATTTTCAACATCAGGGGGAATATGATCCAGATCATACCTACAGGATCACCACGAACCTCCTGAGAGAGATCAGAGAGTTTTCTGTGGGAGAAAACCAACAGCCACTGTCGTATCTCAGAAACCGCTTTGGAAGCAGCGCTGATGATGCACGAATCAGAAACACATGGGGTCACCTTGCTTGCCTTGGCCTGCTGTTGTATATTGTGCTCGGGGAAAGGCACCCCTTTACCCCACAATCCAACTACACACCGCAAGTCAGACAACAAAGCGCCTACAGACCAGATAACAGACAAACTAGTTGGTGTGCAGCTTTTGTGAAGTGCTGCATGATCGTTGTTGCTCTTTTAATTGTTCTTATTATTTTGGCAATTTCTGCAGCAAGGAGATAAATTGAAATGAGAGAAATTGCCATATAATGTGTTTAAGCATAATGCTTCTCACAAAGTCAACAGGATTCAAAAGTTGATTGGGAAGAAGGAAACACGCACATGTCCAGGGGTTCTTCTGTTTTATGCTTTGTTTTACTTCTGTGTTTGATTGTAATTTGTACTATATAACCTTTTTTGTGAATGTTGTTAGTTTATATTTGAGATAAAGGCTTTGTATGACATGCTTTCGATGACAGGCCAAATACTTTAAATCCTCGATCTTTTGAGCTTCAAAGTTACCTTTATTAAAAATGACAGGTTCTGAATAACAGTAGGGCTTCTTCTTCTATTTGAAATGTGCACATTGGCTTTTGTTGTTTTTTTAATAATAAACTGCTTTGGTGCAGTCATGCTCCAGCATGTATAGCTATGATTCACTGAGGATTCCTCCTGTGTGTGAGACGGATGAAGAGCATTTAAGCAGCACTGATTGATAAACCAAACAGATCGGTGAATGACTGTACGGTCTGCAAAGGACAGCCGTCACTGACATGAATGCATTTCTTTTTTTATACTTCCTGTAATGTCAGAAATTGTGTGTGTTTATTAAATTGTAATGTGTCAGTAAGACTGATGTCAGCTTTTTATTTGAGGTTTTAGGGAACTGAGCACAATTTAGATGTGCAAAAATAATAAAGACACCTTTAACATTATATTGTGGAAGATCACATTTGTTACCTTTGGCATCACATTTCAGAAAGAACTGTTTCTGCCAGAACCAGAGAAGAGATACATGTATTGTAACTAATTAACTGATAAGATACAAGTAGAGTTTAACATGTTGCTAGAGATATCATTTCACATTTGACTTTTATCAGAAATAATGTATTGATTTATTCAATTCTGGTCTTAATTCAAAATCTTAACAGAGGACACATTTAGAACTTAGTTATAGTGAATTATCAAAGACATTATATTTCTATTTGTGTTTTATTTCCATATGTGAACATATAAGAAGGGCAATGTCCATGACAGGTGCACATGCTATTTTGACTACCACACTGACCCAGGTATGTAATATTACAACACAGACATAAGCTGCTCAAAATCAAATTTGATGAATGTATTCCACAATAACTACATGTTCTAGACATTGTAATATTCACAAACAAATATATTTGAGGCATTTTACTTACTTGAATACGACAACTCCAGTCCAATAAAACAAAGACGTTTGCTCGTTTGAAGATTCGGAAGTTGTGTGAGTGTATGGCCAGAGGGCAGGACCTATAAACACATTTACTACCCAATAGCATTGTGAGGCTGAACAAAAGGACCTTTTGTTTATGCAAATGTAGTCTTTAAAAAAAAAAACATTTACAGACTTTTTTAGGATAGCTTAAAGTAATGTTGTACAATTACAACAGTGGGCTTTACAGGGTTAAAACAAACGTTCTGATTTCAAGATATTAAAAGTAGTCTTTAGAAATGCAAAAAGCAAATTACAAAATATTTTTAGCAGTGTGTTGTCGCTTGTGATGCTAAAGATAACACATCTGATCTTCCAGAATATAATGTTAAAGGTGTCTTTATTATTTTGAACATCTAAATTGTGCTCAGTTCCCTAAAACCTCAAATGAAAAGCTGACATCAGACTTACTGACACATTACAATTTAATAAACACACAATTTATGACATTACAGAAAGTATAAAGAAAATGAAATGCATTCATGTCAGTGACGTCTGTCCTTTGCAGACCGTACAGTCATTCACCGATCTGTTTGGTTTATCAATCAGTGCTGCTTATAGGGGACCTATCATGCAAACTGCACTTTTGTACGTCTTTTATACATGAATATGTGTCCCCGGTGTGTCAGGGAACTCACCAAGTGTCAGAAAACACAACACTCTCTTTTCCTCCATACCCAAATCTCTAAAAACGGGGCTGCAACGGAGCTGATTATTATTTGAATTTTTCTGACGTCAGAAAAGGGGTGCTCCGCCTATATGGGCAACTTTCTACCTATCAGGGGAATGAGAGACCGCTCGAAAGATCTGGAGACGCTGTAGTACATATGCCAGGCCTGTAAGTGGCGCTGTAGTCTGCCACAAAAGCAGAATCAGCCCTTGCAAAAACAGGGCTGGAAAAGAGCAAATCGAGCGAAATGAGGCATGGATCAAATGCATTATCTGTTTGGTCTTTTGAAAAAAAGACTTCACAGATATAGGTATGGCCCTACAATATATGTTTCAAATATAGCATGATAGGTCCACTTTAAATTCTCTTCATCCGTCTCACACACAGGAGGAATCCTCAGTGAATCATAGCTATTCAATGCTGGAGCAAAACTGAAGCCTGCAGCTTTATGACTGCGCCAAAGCAGTGCATTATTAAATGCATTTTGTTGGGGAAATACTTTCCTCGGCCCATAACTTTGACCCAGTTTGTACAATGAGCACCTGCGACCTTGGGTGCTGTGCTCTCAGTGTTTTGTCTCCCTGTTCCTGCCTGTTGGCGTCAGCTGATAGAGGTGTTATGATTTTATCTTGTTATGCACAATGTTGATTATTCTCTCAGAACCAGCTAAATACATGGGTCTGGGGTAGAGATCTTCAGAATTGGTTTGGCCTCTTCTGTGTCAACTCGTGGCAGACGACATGTCTTGTGAATTCTCCGGCCGAAGCTCCAAATAAACCATCACACTGTTAAGTCACTGTTTTTTGCCGAATGAGGAAACATAATAGTGATTGATCGTGTCGCCCATTGACAAAAGCCCTTTAATTTGAAAGATAAGGAATTGGCTGCGTTTGTTGACATGCCTGGCGAAAATTCTTTATTTGACTCTCTGGGAGGTAAAGACAGAAACATACTGGCAATAGCAGCTCTTGTTATATATGCTTTCAAAGAGAACAAACCAGATAATTCACAATGCAACTTCTAATGTATCTCACTTGTGCTACAACAAACAAGGAAATCAAAAGTATGGAGACGAAACAAGACATACATCAGAACAACCCTTGCAGGATGTTCAGGTGTTAAACAATATCTTTACACTCCCTGTTTTAATGTTGTTTGTGTTTCTAAATGCACTCCAAATGCAGAAATAGACAAATAAATACAAAAAGAATGCAGAGCCCCAATCAATTAGTCTGTTTTCTGGTTTGTAGTTCTTTTTTTAAAAACAGTGTTTGTGAGGTGGAAATCATCAGTGTTGCTTTCAGAGCAGTCTCTTAGATACACAAGTGGGTTTTGGTTTTCTTCCCAGGAGCCTACAAGATACATTTTTGGATCTTATTTATTAAGATAATAAATAATTATACCCAATACAATTACAATTACAATTACAATTACGCAGGCCAAAAAACAATACATTATACAGGATGTAAACGTGTTGCAACAGTCTGATTCTGTGTTTACCGGTCGCCTGCTGGCTACACGGTCCTCATCATCTCCCATATTCAGTGCAACGTAATCCTGGTTTTGGACATTTCTAGGAACATTGTGCTCTCTCTTATTACCAGGATTTCTTCCGTTTCCAGGGCGGTTGTTTTGTTGCTTAGAGGACTGCTTTTCCTGGATCACAATATACAGCAGCAGTCCAAGGCAAGCAAGTTCACCCCATGTGCTTTCGATGTCGAAATCATCAGCGCTGCTTCCAAAGCGGTTTCTGAGATACGACAGTGGCTGTTGGTCTTCTCCCACAGAAAACTCTCTGATCTGTCTCAGGAGGTTCGTGGTGATCCTGTAGGTATGAGCTGGATCATAAAGTGTCCCCTGATTTTCAGAAGTGTCATAATGCTGTGTGATATACACTTGGTCTATCGTCTGGTAAGCTTGCCCATGTATGTTTTGCTCCCTGACCCGAAATACGATCCTGTCCATGTTTCTTCTCATATCCTCAATCATGGGATCGACTACATAAGGAGGAAGTTGGGTTGACGTTTCCTCATTGAGATTTCCAATAGTGTAGTACCTGTGTTGATTTACCCAAGGCAGAGGGTCCAGCACCCCCTCATAGTTGCCATAATGGTGTGAGCCATAATCTTCCCTGTTTGGGTCAAAGGTCAGCTCTATTATATTGTTGTTGTCGATGTCGATCTCGTTGGCAAACCAGTGGAGCAGCAGAAGACTGTGCATGGGCACAGATTGGCCAAAGTTGATTTTCTTCAAATCATTGATTGATCTGAGCGTCTTCTGTACAGCTGACACAGAGGTCAGGGCGAGGAGCAGAGCTACACAGCACCAAGTGACTCTTCCTGATATCTTCATCCTGGGTCCACTTGACTCTCAATTAGGATGTCCAAAGTCCTTTTAAAAAAGGTAGAAATATAGAGTAGAGAATGTATATTAAAAACAGATTCATTTAATCTATCAATGTGTTTTTACTTAAAGGTCACCTATTATGCAAAATCCACTTGTTCATGTCTTTTCTACATCAACATGTGTCCTCTGTGTAAAGAGATTCTGCTGAAAGTTTCAGGAAAAAAGATTCGCTCCCTTTTTGTTCTGATTCATTTACATAAAAACCTGTCTGAAAATGAGCTGATCAGATTTTGGCTCCTTATTTTCATCTAAAGCAGGGGTCGGCAAACTTTTTGATATGAAGCGCCATTATAAAAATGTTATCAGCGTGCCAACGATCATGAATTATCAACGGGGGGGGGGGGGGGGGGGGTGGGGTGAGGAGCTCGACGCTCGTGTGAACTGTCAACGGAGGGTGGGAGGAGCCTCGCTGCGGGGAAGCAGTGTGTGGACCTGTTGAGCGCAACACATTTAAATAATTGGTTTGAACGGCATAATGATAAGGGACGATTGTCCGTTCTGTGATTCTCCAGAACACACGTTATGATATTAGGGTCATGCAGAGTGAGATGAGATCGCTGTCCCTTTTAAGAGAGAGAGAGGGGTGTGGCGTGTGTGTGTGTGGATGGTAGAGCGAGAGTGAGCGAGCATGTGTATGTTTCTGGAAGTGAAACGAGGCAGCAGAAAAACAGAGGTCTGTGATGTATTTTGTGAAACAGAAGAACAGCTAAATAAATGCAACGACCTCCCAAGAAGAGCTCGCTTCTCTCCAGTCATTTAAGCTAAAGTGGGTTATTGAACCTGAAGCTTGTTGCTTCTGCCCTCCTCGACTACGGTCTGGGAGCCGACAGGAAAGTTCAACACACAGATGGCCAGTCCGCCCCTTTGTAGCATATTATTTCGATGAGCAGATCGCCACTGGGCTTTCAACTAAAGACACAGCCACGCAAAAACTGCGGCATTTGTACAGCAGCTCCTTATGGGTACTGCAATTAGTGAAGTGCTTTCCTCCGTGGTGAAACGATCAGCACTGCACCACGGAGGAAAGCTGCAGAAAGTCGCCTGGAGTTAAAGAGAGCGGGGCTGCGTTGCGTGCATGGCTTCCTTCTGCAGGTAACGGGGAGACGCGCTCTTGCGGCGGTCTCGTTCAGGATCCGAAATACAATTTTAATATTTTGCACACTTATTCCACTTATTCCTAGTGTGCCACTGGTTACGGTGCCGCGTGCCAATGGTGGCACTCGTGCCAGGGGTTGCCGACCCCTGATCTAAAGTAACAGACAGAGAATCAGCACTTTTGAAACAGGGCTGAAACTGAGGGGTTTATGGGATGCTGCAATGATCCGTTTGGTATTTGGAGCCAAACACTTCAGAGACATGTTTTGTATATATCTGAGACCTATAATATATTGATGAAAAACAGTATAATAGGGACCTTTTAATGTTGGTATTACAATGTTTTAAGAATTGAAAGTCATTGTAAGTCTAACGGCCCGTCCACACTACAGCTTCGACAGCTTCAAAAACGGTTTCCAACGCTTCTGCCCATTCACTTTGAATGGGGTGACGTCACTTTTCGCCGAACTGCATTGTGGGAAGCAGAGCGGAGCTTTCCTGGCGTTTCAGGCTGCAAAAGTTGAGCAATGTTCAACTTTTGAAGCTTCTGAAGCTTTCGGTGGAAGCGTCATCCAATCAAATCATATGCCAGTACAAGCTCTAGCCAATCAAACCGCTGCTTGTGTGTCAAGGGCGGGAGATTCATGTGATTGGTTGTTGGTCGAGCTTCAGACACGCCGAGCTCCAAGCTTTTTTTGAAGCTGTAGTGTGGACGGGCCGTAATACTTGATATGCAGGGCAGTCAAATGTCAACCCTGTTGGCATAAAATAGGCTCGTAGTGATTAGAATACTTTATTTTGATATCATCCTTTTTTCTATAATACGCACATAATGGGGCGTTCACACCAAGTTCTTTTCCCACAATAGTTCATCAGAACTCAGTTCATGAGAACTCTTTTAGTTCTGATCAACTAAAGCAGATCGCGTTCACACCGCAATGAGTTCCTGGGGGTGGATTAGGCAAATGAAGCCGCTGACGTCACTTCTTCTTCTTCTGCTTTGGGTTTACTGGCAGGCCGCAAAAAACTTCACGGCGTATATTGCCACCCGAAGTCCCCGGAGTTGGGGGCTTCAGTGGCAGTGATGGGACTTCTACTGAAGCCTTCTGAGTAAATCGCCAGAACGCCGACACCTCCTCATCTCCACCGCTCCCATGTTTTCTTTTGTGTTACCATAAGTTAGTCTCTCTGCGTTTCTGCGCTGGGCTAATGCTAATGCTAGGATAATAAAATGGCGGCTTCACAAAACGTTTTGGGAGTTTTACAGGGCGTGGTTTGCATTCCGCCCAGCCAATCAGACATAGGAACCTTTTTCTCCCACGAAAGTCCCTGCTCTCTAGCAGGGACTGAAAAGGGGGTAAAAATGGTTCTGATTAACTAATTTAGTTCAGGGGGCTTTTTGGTGTGAACGCAAATATATCTGAGTTCTGATGAACTATTGTGGGAAAAGTACTCCGGTGTGAACACGCCAAATGGCAACCTGGCAACAGTTACTGTCGGGCCCTGGACTAGCCCCATCATATATTTCTCAATTATATTACAAGTTATAATACATTCTTTGCAAATAATATTTTAGTAGTAAATAATCTCCTTATAACGGCATAAACAGCGTACATTTGCAGTTTTAATCTGAGTTTTCGTCACCTTCAAACCCTGTTGTTCACTGCGCCATTTAACATCCAATCTGTACTTTCTCAAAGCATACATGCCATTGTAACAAGATATGCATCGAATGGTTATTATCATGGTTGGATCAGTCAAGTAAACATTAAACATTTTTTTGTTATTATCCCTTCTGCTCATACTGACCAATAGGCCTTGGGAAGAAATCCAAAGTCTTCATATTGAGCACAAATGTATGTTTAAGTTATCTGAGTTTATTTTGAGGCTTCAGCAGCCTGAGTTCATCAAATCAAGCGAGTAGCAAGTTACACTCTATCTAGTAGACTGTTTTAATACACAGCCTTTCCTTGTTGAGCTGCGGTGGAGGGATAGTAACACGAAGAGGAGAGAAAACTCAAATACAAAGCTGGAATCAAAGGCTTCTTCCAATCATGTGAAATAGTGCTAAAGTAAATAATAAAAACTAACTAATGATCAGAAAAAAGGAGAGCTTACCTCTGTTAGTCCTGCTGCTGTCGAATCTCCGATCTTGTGTGTGTGTGTGTGTGTGTGTGTGTGTGTGTGTGTGTGTGTGTGTGTGTGTGTGTGTGTGTGTGTGTGTGTGTGTGTGTGTGTGTGTGTGTGTGTGTGTGTGTGTGTGTGTGAGAGAGTGTAGAGGAAACTCTCCCTAGGTTTCAGTTTCCCTGTAAATGAAACTGGCAAAACATCCGTTGCCGGTGGTAACAAGAAGTTTGATCACATGGCTTTTAAAAAAAAACAACATTCTGATTTCAACATATGAAAAGTAGTCTTTAGAAATGCAAAAAGCAAATGATAAAATATGTATAGCAGCGTTTTGTCGCTTCATACTGATATAGGGCTAATATAGCAATCAATCCTGCAAATCAACCATTAGTTGTTCAATATATTTATTCAGACAATGTGAGTATAAATACAGAAATCATGCTCCCACCTAAGGCCAACGTTGCAATATTACATAATTTCCCTAAAAACTTACCAAAACGTAAAACGCTTTCATTTCTGCTCCAGAGGCTCCCTACAACAACATCTGAAAGGTCAAACAAATACATTCTAATGTTTTTCTAGATTTGGGCTTTACAGGGTTAAACAGCCATGTGATCAAACTTCCTGTGACGACCACCAGCAGAATTGCTCTTCCAGTTTTATTTACTGGGGAAACTGAAACCTAGGGAGAGTTCCCTCTACAAACACACACACAGATCTGACACTCGACAGCAGCAGACTAACAGAGGTGAGCTCTCCTTTTTTCTGATCACTAGTTTGTTTCTATTATTTACTTTGGCACTATTTCACATGATTGGAAGAAGACTTTGATTCCAGCTTTGTATTTGAGTTTTCTCTCCTCTTCGTGTTACTATCCCTCCACCGCAGCTCAACAAGGAAACGCTGTGTATCAAAACAGTCTACTAGATAGAGTGTAACTTGGTACTCGCTTGATTTGATGAACTCAGGCTGCTGAAGCCTCAAAATAAACTCTGAGAACTTAAACATAAATGTTTTGCTCAATAAGAAGACTGTGGATGCCCTCGTAATGCCTACTGGTCAGTATGAGCAGAGGGATAATAACAACAAAAACCAGTTTCAATGTTTACTTGACTGATCCAACCATGATAATAACCATTTGATGCATATCTTTAATACAATGGCATGTATGCTTTGAGAAAGTACAGATTGGATGTTAAATGGCGCAGTGAACAATCGGGTTTACAAATGTACGTTGTTTATGAGGAGATTATTTACTTCTAAAATATTATTTTTCAAACAATGTATTATACGTTTTTATTTTAATTGAGAATTATATGGTGGTGCTCGTCAAAATGTCTCCCACTTTAGGTTAATTATTTTTTTTATAATGAACCTTTACTGTATATAGGGCTCAGAACATTGATTCCCAGATTTGGCAAGAAAATACAAATGTTTTTTCCAATGAAATTATTTCAAATGTATTATGTGTGCTGTCTACTATAGAAAAAAAAGGATGATATAAAAACAATGTTGTATACCAATTACTACGGGCCTATTTAATGCCGACGGGGTGGAAATGTGACACTCCTTCAGAGCAAGTATTAAACTTACAAAGACAATCTGTCTAAAGGAAATCACACTTTTTGCTTTTCACCAAGAGGTCATTTTGTGACTACAATATCTTTGAATTCTTAAAACATTGTAATACCCTCAATACATTTGTGTATCATTAAGTAAAAACACATTAAATGAATTTGTTTTTATAAACTTTCTGAACTCTATATATTTCCTTTCTCACAAAAGGACTTTGGACATCCTAATTGAGAGTCAAGTCCCAGGATGATGAAGATATCAGGAAGAGTCACTTGGTGCTGTGTAGCTCTGCTCCTCGCCCTGACCTCTGTGTCAGCTGTACAGAAGACGCTAAAATCAATCAATGGTTTGAAGAGAATCAACTTCGGCCAATCTGTGCCCAAGCACAGTCTTCTGCTGCTCCACTGGTTTGCCAACGAGATCGACATCGACAACAACGATATTATACAGCTGACCTTTGACCCAAACAGTGGAGATTATGGTTCCCATCATTATGGCAACTTTGAGGAGCTGCTGTACCCACTGCCTCGGGGAAATCAATACCAGTACCTCACAATTGGAAATATCCATCAGAGAACGTCCAATCCACTTCCAGCGTATGTAGTGCATCGCGTAATGGATTATGAAGGACAAAATAGGGACAGGATCATAGTTCGAGTCAGGGAGCAAAACCAAAGGCAAGCTTACCAGACGATAGACCAAGTGTATATCACACAGCATTATGACACTTTGGAAAATCAGGGTACACCTTATGATCCAGATCATACCTACAGCATCACCACTAACCTCCTGAGACAGATCAGAGAGTTTGCTCTGGGACAAAACCAACTGTCGTATCTCAGAAACCGCTTTGGAAGCAGCGCTGATGATGTACAAATCAGAAACGCATGGGGTCCCCTTGCTTGCCTTGGACTGCTGCTGTATATTGTGATCCAGGAAAAGCACTCCTCGAAGCAACAAAACAACCGACCAAAAATCTACAACAAACCAGAAGACAACATCAGAGCTGAAAGCGACCATACTGAACAAAACAGAAGAAATCCTAGAAATGAGAGAGAGCACAATGTTCCTAGAAATGAGAGAGAGCACAATGTTCCTAGAAATGAGAGAGAGCACCACAATGTTCCTAGAAATGAGAGAGAGCACAATGTTCCTAGAAATGAGAGAGAGCACCACAATGTTCCTAGAAATGAGAGAGAGCACAATGTTCCTAGAAATGAGAGAAAGCACAATGTTCCTCTAAATGTCCAAAACCAGGGTTATGTTGTAGTGAATGTGGACAATGAGGACAGTGTAGAAACAGAATCAGACTGTTGCAACACCTATAAAATCCTGTATACATTTTTTTTTTGTTTTGTATTGCCTGCATAGTTGTAATTGTATCGGTTATAATCATTTGGTCTTTTGTTATGAAAAAATTAAGAGATACAAAAAATGTATCTTGAAGGCACCTGGGAAGAAAACCAAAACCCACTTGTGTATCTAAGAGACTGCTCTGAAAGCAACACTGATGATTTCCACCTCACAAACACCGTTTTAAAAAAAAAGAACTACAAACCAGAAAACAGACTAATTGATTGGGGCTCTGCATTATTTTTTTTATTTTGTTGTTGTCTATTTCTGCATTTTGAGTGCATTTAGAAACAAAGATAACATTAAAACAGGGAGTGTAAATATATTGTTTAACACCTGAACATCCTGCAAGGGTTGTTCTGATGTATGTCTTGTTTCGTCTCCATACTTTGGATTTCCTTTGTGTACTATTTCATCTTTTTGGTGAACGGTGTTAGTTTAGATCGACATATAGACTTGGTATACAGTAACATGCTTTGAATGAAAAGTTAAATTCTTTCATCTTCAAATCTCAAACTGTGCGTTATGAACAGTGCGTTAGTCTTCAGGGCCCAGTAGTTCAAAACTTTTAATCTCAATCAGATCCGATGAGATTTTGAAATCCCATTTTTTGTGATCCAGGATCAGACAACTCGGCCAGATTTTGTCCCAGTATTTCAAAGCAATTCAGGATAGGATCACCCTGATCCAGATTCAGACTTTTCAAGATTACTAGATCCTGAATATCAGTGCTTTAATCCACCGATCTCCATCTAGTGGATATTGAAAAATAATTACAAGGGAAGACACCACATTGCAGAGACATCTATTGTCCGCAATTACTTTTGAAAGATGAAGACAGATGACTTTTTTTGTTGAAGATATTTTTTCTTTAATCTAAATTACATTTGTGCTCGACAATCTTTGTTGTGATACTTTTATGAGCATAAACATTTGTCATCAACATTTGGTTGGTTGGTAGGCCACCACAAACGTGACCAAAAATTGAAAAATAAAATTGATTTGCCATGAAGGCTAAACATTGTGTATTATTTAAGTTAACAAACTTTGCCATCTAACTAACCAAAATCCAAATCTGATCCGATCCGATCAGAATTAAAAGTTTTGAACTACTGGGCGCAGGATATTTAGAACTTCATAGCTCAATGTATTCATAAATACAGTTTGTAACGGCAGGGTTTTTTCTTTATAATTTGAACTGAACACATTTGCTTTTATTTCATATTATAACGCACTGCTTTGACACGGTAATAAAGGTCTAGGGTTCAGCGTTAATAATCCAAGAGCAATGATTAACTGATGACCTTTACAATGTCTGATACAGATGAATAGAATAAAATGTCACTTATTAAAAAATGAAACTGTGTGAATTATCTGGTTTGTTCTCTTTGAAAGCATATATAACAAAAGCTGCTATTCTGTCTTTACCTCCCAGAGAGTCAAATAAAGACTTTTCCCGGCCATGTCAACAGACGCACCCAATTCCTTACGTTTCAAATGAAAGGGCTTTTGTCAATGGGCGACACGCTCAATCACTATTATGTTTCCTCATTCGGCAAAAAACAGTGACTTAACAGAATTATTATTTTTTCAATGAAAATCTCCACAATAACTACTATACAATGACATGGGAGGCACACACACAGCTCATTGCTACTGACATGGGGCTGTTTTAGTTTTTAGGAAAAAGATAATTATAGGTTCTCAGTGCCTTTATTTTGCAATGTTGTAATTATTTTAAATATCTTGACTAAAAAGGCCTTTAAAAAGCTCCCATGTCATGCTTTTCCGGTTATTACCCGTCCCCTTGTGTGTTATGAAGGTTTTTAATGCATGTAAACGGTGTGCAGAGTCAAAACCCTCAAAGTACACCCTGTAGCAAGTAAAACTCTAAACACAGAAAATACCTCCCCAAACGCCTCGTTGAAGATACGTCATTGTCCATTGTTTACTTCCTGGGTACTGTGACGTAGGAATGGCCAGTAGCCGCGCCCAGAGCTATGACGCGATACGGTCATGTGTTACCCGGAACCAAATGGACCAATCCGTGGAGCCGTTACGTTAAGCCCCCGCTGATTGGTCCAAATTGACCAATCCACAGACTTCACACACACACACACACACTCAGTGCAGGCAGCTCTGCTGATTTCTCCTCCCTGGCTGCAGGCTGATAACAGACAGTTGGGATCGCGGCGAAATTCTCTCTGCAAACCCATTCTCACAGCGTTTATCAACCTTTTTCTTACTCAATATCAAGCCACACTTACTGTTTTTACTTCGGCTGTGACTTTGTGTGTGCTCAGGATGAGTTTGGCTGTGTATTGCTAAACAAGGAAACCACACCTCCAAGGAGCTCAGCGCGATTCACAACATCCCGACCAATCAGAGCACACTGTGCTCACAGGGAGGGTGGGGGCTGGAGCTATTGGAGCTACAACGAGCCGTTAATGGCAGAGAGTGAAATTCAGTGAATACACGTAGTTTACAGAGATGCTGTATGAGGAACCAATGTGAGTTTGGAAAATTGCACAATATAAATCTATTCTAGTAGACCTCAACAATGGAATTATGATCAGTGGAAATGGCCATGACATGGGACCTTTAAAAGTTAATCAATATATTTTTTTGAAAAGGATGAAAAGATCACCCTTAATGATGGGAAAATATTGTTTTGAAACCAGCTGACATTATTTAGTTGCATGCTCTTCACTCAACATACATTTTCAAACCCTCTACTTTCTCAACCAAAAGGCCATATTCATGTTTGAGCAAGATTTCCCATTAAAATGACAATTTATCCGTATTTGACGACACTTTCAGCTATAGATTCCTCACATTTAGTGATCAAGAGTTGCAACACAGATATTGACACTCATGTATTTAAGAAGAAAGTTATAAGTTGAGAGCAAACTTTGAACAGTGACCTTTAATAGAAACATCAACATTATGTTCAATCTGAAGTTATCCGTTTTGTTCTCGTCTGTATCGACTGTACGTTCAGGGGCAGAGGAGGTCTAGGGACACACCTGTATAATGTCAATCTATATATAAACAATAATAATAAAAAAAAATGTGAAAATAAAAATAAAAAGCTCAAAGTCTGGCACTATTACAAATCTAAAAGGACACACTCACTGTCACAGGATAGATGCACCATAAACCCGCACATTAAATTCCAACATGATCGAGAATCTGAATGTTACAGAATCTGTCCTCTAAAAACTGTCGAAATAAATAATCTTAATGTACAGCACATATCTGTTAAACCCCAATTACAGCATGAAAGGGAGGACTCTTCCTCTTATCTTGAAAACAGAAGGACGTTTCATCCAAACAGCTTTGTGATCAAAGTTTACTTCCTGGAATCAACAGCAAGTTGCAGCAACATTTGTTTTGCAGGTTTCGTTTACAGAAAAAAAGTTCACAGAGAAAGACTTTCATCTACACTCGCACACACTGAGATCTGATACTTGACAGCAGACTAACGCAGGTGAGCTCTCTTATTTTCTAATCAGTCGTTTTTTTTAATTTACTTTGGTGAAGCTTTTGAATCCACGTTTTGTTTTTGAGTGTTCTCTTCTCTTTGTGTTACTATCTCTCCACCGCAGCTCAACAAGGACACGCTGACACAAATGAACTTTAACTTCATGAGATACTTTACAGGAGGTGTATTAAAGGTCCCATGTTATGCTTTTCCAGTTATTACCGGTCCCCTTGTGTGTTATGTAGCTTTTTCTGCATGTAAACGGTGTGCAAAGTTACAAACCCTCAAAGTACACCCTGCAGCGAGTAAAACTCTAACACAGAAAAGACCTGTCTATGCTGCCCCAGAATGCCTCGTTGGAGGCGTTTTCTTTTTCTTCCTGGGTACAGTGACGTGCCCATACCCAAATGGACCTATTGGTCCAAATGGACCAATGAGTGGAGCCGTTACATCACGTCACGTCCGCGGAGCCGTTACACACACACACTCAATCTTTTCTCAGCTGCAGCTCCGCCGATTTCTCCTCCCCGAGACGGCGGGACGGTGGTCGGTTGTGAGCACAAACACAAACTCCCAGCCAGGCTGCGTGTTGTGTTTCGGGCTGGGTTTCGCTGTGTCTCGCTGTCTCGCAGACGGCCACTGGGCTCATAGGGGGGGGGGGGGCAGGAGCTCCAACAAGCCGTTTAGGACAGAGAGTGAATACACATACTATACAGAGATGCTGTATGAGGAACCAATGTGAGTTTGGAAAATTGCACAATATAAATCTATTCTAGTATACTTCAACAATGGAATTATGATCAGTAGAAATGGCCCAGACATGGGACTTTAAACAAGAAAAACATCTTTCAATGTTCACCTGACTGATCAAATCATGATAATAATAAGTTGATGCGTTTCTAGTAACATATGCGTGTGCTTTCAGAAAGTAGAAATAAATTGGGAGGAACAAATGGCTCAATTCAATTATTGCAACATATGTTTCTGATTTACTGTGTGGCTTCTAATATTTATAAGATGGTAATTAAAACTTTCCTTTACAAATGATAAATTAGCAATATGTCCACCCTGTAGCCAATACTGTTCACTTTTTGAGGATGAATTCTTACAATTAGGTATACATACATATGACTAAGGCAGTGCAAGTATCAAACTTACAAAGACAATCTAGTCAATAGGATATCACACTTGTGTAGCTTATAGAACTTTCTCTTATTTCTACTTCATAAAAGCCTTTGCTTATCTAAATTGCCATTTCTGTCTCATACAGGACGATGAAGATATCAGGAGGATCACTTGGTGCTGTGTAGCTCTGCTCCTCGCCCTGACCTCTGTATCAGCTGTACAGAGAGCTGAATTCAATCAGTGATTTGAAGAAAATCAACTTCGGCCAATCTGTGCCCAAGCACAGTCTTCTGCTGCTCCACTGGTTTGCCAACACAGTTACCATTGATGAGAACAATGTAATAAATCTGACCTTTGACCCAAACAGTAGAGCTTATGGCTCACATCATTATGGCAACGGTGAGGGGCTGCTGGACCCACTGCCTTGGAGAAGTCATTACAGGTACTACACTATTGGTAATCTCGCTCAGGAAACATTCAATCCACTTCCGCGTTACGTAGCGTCGTCCACGAAAGATTTTGCAGGAGAGAACAGGGACCGGATCATAGTTCGTGTCAGGGAGGAAAACACAGGAAGGCAAACTTTCTGGTGGGTAGACCACGTGTATATCACACAGCATTTTCATTATCAGAGGGAATATGATCCAGCTCATACCTACAGCATCACCACGAACCTCCTGAGAGAGATCAGAGAGTTTTCTGTGGGACCAAACCAACAGCCACTGTCGTATCTCAGAAACCGCTTTGGAAGCAGCGCTGATGATGTCGACATCGAAAACGCATGGGATCAGCTTGCTTGCCTTGGACTGCTGTTGTATATTGTGCTCGAGGAAAGGTCCTCCTTTACCCCACAATCCAACCACCCAACGTTTGTCAAACACAGCGCCTACACACCAAATAACAGACACAATTATTGGTGTGCAGCTTTTGCGAACTGCTGCAGGATCTTTGTTGTTCTTTTAATTTGTCTTTATATTATGTCCATATAATTTGTTTAAGCCTAATGCTTCTCACGAAGTCAGCAGGATTCAAAAGTTGATTGGGAAGAAGGAAACCCACGTGAACATGTCCAGGGGTTCTTCTGTTTTATGCTTTGTTTTAAAAATTCTAATTTGTATTATATAACTTTTTTTGTGAATGGTGTTAGTTTACATTTGAGATAAAGGCTTTGTATGACATGCTTTAGATGACAGGTCAAATACTATAAATCCTCGATCTTTTGAGCTTCAAAGTTACCTTTATTAAAAATGACAGGTTCTGAATAACAGTAGGGCTTCTTCTTCTATTTGAAATGTGCACATTGGCTTTTGTTGTTTTTTTAATAATGCACTGCTTTGATGCAGTCATGAAGCTGCAGGCTTCAGTTTTTCTCCAGCATGTATAATGTAATAGCTATGATTCACTGAGGATTCCTCCTGTGTGTGAGACGGATGAAGAGAATTTAAGCAGCACTGATCGATAACCAAACAGATCGGTGAATGACTGTACGGTCTGCAAAGGACAGCCGTCACTGACATGAATGCATTTCTTTTTGTTATACTTCCTGTAATGTCAGAAATTGTGTGTGTTTATTAAATTGTAATGTGTCAGTAAGACTGATGTCAGCTTTTCATTTGAGTTTTTAGGAAACTGAGCACAATTTAGCAAAATAATAAAGAAACCTTTAACATTATATTCTGGAAGATCAGATTTGTTATCTTTGGCATCACAAGCGACAAAACGCAGCTACAAATATTTTATCATTTGCTTTTTGCATTTCTAAAG